TATCTAAAGCCCTGTCTAAACTATCAGATAATATTTGACAACAGGATATCACATGCCTAAATATGGTCATGATGCGATGGGCATACACCAGTTTTTTTGTCAAAGAAAATAAAGTACTCAGGATAGAGCTCTATTAAATACAAGTGATTATGAATATATATGAATAAAAGACTGCCTGGTATGATTTGAATTATCTTCAGGCATTATTGCCATGCTCTAGATTGAGATACAATATCAGTTATTGTATTGTATTTATTAGGTTTGTAATAAACATCAGTCTCATACACTTTGTTTGCATTTGGTATGTCTTTACTAATGTCTAAAAGCAGTCTCCAATACTTAATCAATTTTGTTCCTTTTAATTTGTTTGGGTCAACACCTGATATTTTTTAAACTCTAAAAGGCCACTAGCTGACCAGATTCAAAGGCAGTTCAGCCTTATAGCATACCATAAAACCTAGCTTTAAAGCATAATGGGCTTAAGATCGAGAAACAGCGCATCTCAAATTGAAGCCCACTTCTTCAGTTTGCAAAATTAGGCTCAAAAAGAAGCATAATCTTGAAAAGAAGCCCATGGGCTTATTTTCAAGATAGCATAGGCTTCTTTTCAAGGTAGTACAATACATACACTGTATGTGAATTTCAAAGAAACAAAATTAATTAAAAACACTCTTGGTTTACACAATAGTTTAAGTGATTTAATACACTCCATGTTACAGATTGATGTTACAGTGGCCATATTTATTGTTTTATTCCCAAAAATTACAGCATTCACTTTGATAAGAAACGCCCTCTTTACTTTACAAATGTGGCTTTGAAAAGAAGTCCATCATGAAAAGAAGGCCATTTCGAAAAGAAGCCTAATTAAAAAGTTTGCAAAAAAAAGCCCAGGGCTTCTATTTGAGGTTTTACGGTATGTAGTCTCTATGAAGAGAAAAGTACTGGAATTTGTAACATGTTCATTAATGCATCCAATAACTAGAGGTCACATAACTGTTACTCTTCAATTCAACTCAAGACAAGACAAGTATCATATACTCTTTTGTAGAGTATTTGGTGTTTAAATCAGCCCTTTCAAATAAAGCATTATAACATACTGTGAAGCACTTTGTGAATTTTTTATTTGACTGGAATAAAAAAATTCTTTATAAGTTAAACTAACCCCTTCCCCACCCAAATTATTAAAATTAAAAGATAATAGAACAACTACTCTAAAAAAAAAAATATTTTTAATGTTTTTCAATTCAATAATGATATTTTTCTAAACATTAATTTTAAAATAAATGCAATACGAGACGAGCAGGGGGTTACCGCAGTGTACTGGTCCACTCGGCTTGTGTCGCGGACAGATGAAAGTGCGTCGGTTTACTGGTTGCAGAGGGCATGAAGCGACCCTCAGGGGAGGAGAAAGTTATTGAAAAGCGCAACATTTAGTTCATTGTGCCACAAGCAACAATTGTTGGAATGGCGCAATATATATACACGATTTGATTTGATTTGGATACTAATAAAATTATAAATTCTAAAGAAACTCACCCAAACAGTCAACATTAACACAAGATGGAAATATTCCAGATCCTTTCTCCAGAGTGAACTCAGGATTGGCACCTGACCCCTCCTCAATATCAACACACAGTTGTATTTGTTGTGCGCAAACGTTGTTGGTCAAGTCTATATTAACAGTCAGGTTGGACAAAGTCAGATTTCTTCCTGCAGTTAATTGTGTACTGTTGTCATCAGCGTTTATAATCACATCCTCATTTGGGGTTAAATCATTCCCATTCTATGAGTGAAAAAAATATGAATAAGTTATTCTCCCTAATAAAAAATGAAACTCAAATAGTTTCAAGGAATCTTGTCAAAGTGGCACCCCATAGTCATTCAAGTCAGGCTCCAGAGGGAAAAAAAATTGTTGCAATGTTGTAAAACTGATTTTCCCAAGACATGAAAAGATATTATATTTAAAAACTTGCAAGGAAAAAAGGGTGTTTATGCCCTTTTTTTCTCCAGTTTTTAAATATTCCAAAATCTGTATCTCATTAACCATTTTCAAGTTTTTTTTCAAATATTCTTTTTGTGTCTTAAAAAAATCAGTTGTAAAACATATAAATAAAAATTGTTTCCTCAGACTGCTGAGCCTGGATGTAATGCATGTATATAAGCTTTGCAGCTTTGCTTCTTAATAACAATATCTCACTTGGGGGGTTAAACAATTCCCATTCTATGAGCTAAAAAAATTGAATTCAATGAAATATGATGAGAAATTAAAGTTCACTACATTAATTGTTAGTATGTCCAATGGAAATCAAATAGTCTATTGATATAATCGATAATAATAACAATAGCAACAACAAAGCACAACAGTAATTAATGTAACTTTTGTATTCTTCATAATGTTTATAATCTCAAGATAACTGTTCTGACAGCAACTCTTTTTAGATATAGTAATTACTTAACTTTAGCTATCTCAGATCTTATATTGAATAGCATTTGAACTGTTCATTGTGTGTATCCTTTACGTATATGGCCAAATTAATTTCAATTTTAATACATATACTGAGAATGAGAATATATCAAAGAGAAATGGGATTATGCATACTAGGAAAAAATTACTGTTGGATGTGCTAATGAATATTGATAGTACTTGATGTTTGGTTGATGTTCAGATGTGAACTCATACAGTGTCATACGACGCAGGCAAATGAAATTTGTTGTCGCATTGGGTATGTGTGAGTAAATGCTAACGTGACAGGTTTGCGTCTAAATTTCACCGGAATTTTGTAGCTGGTTAAGAGAACGATCTGTTTTTACAAGTATAACACTTTATGATGACTCTGTGTTCAAATGATTTTCGTTACAAAAAGTCTCATTTAGAGCCAATCAACTTACAGTATCTTTCAGACCTGCCTTTACGGCCCAAAGGTTATCTCCGGTTATACTGGCGGCAAACTCGCTTGAAGTTATTGTAAGAGAGAACACTATTGTATTATCCAAACCCGCTATTACGGGATCTCCACTGACAACCATGGAAACTGATGCATCTACAATTTGCACACCTATGTAAACAAAATGAATAATAAATTTTCATTATATGAAAATGATTGAAATAATATTGATTAATATTCATATTATTATCAAATATCATTAATATTATCATCATTCTCACTATTTACTTTGAAGATTTTTTGCTCATCTTCATCTCCTTCCTGAAGATGAATGTATAAAGTTTGAAATATTGAATCGCAGTGGATCGTATCACTTTCTTTGGGGTTTGTTTCATACTGTCTTTCATCAAACTTATAGTGAAACATACTTTATGAGTATTATTAACATTTCTATTTTATTATTATTACCATTGTTGATTAAAATTGATGTAAAGCTACTTAAAAAAATTATTACATGTGAATGATTACAATGCAAATGAGAAAAATTTACACTGTAATCACTGTTGTCAAATAGTTATGCATGTTATTTCTATTTATCATCATTTTCAAAATTGCTATACTAGTTAATTAATGAGAACAATGCTTTCACTTATTATCTCACCTAAGCAATTGGCAACTTGACACAACGGTTTTAAAGGGTCTCGAACTGTCGTGATACTAAACGATGGGTCACTAGCTGGATCACGCATGAACTCCACACAAAGGTAATAGTAAAGGAAGGGATCGTCAAAACACTTCAGACCATTCAGGTCTAAAGTGGCTGTAACTCCCGTGAATTCTAAAGGTGAGCCGGCTGTAATGGCAGCATTTTTCTGCTCTGTTGTGAGGTCAGCTAAGGTCTCTCCGTATCGTGGCCCTTGACCAATGCTGTTTGTACCTATAAACACGTTTATCTGCCACAGGTCTGTACCACTTAGAGCAGTGCTTGTTGAATCCGTAGCAACCGTAAGGTCAAATGTAACATCAGTCGGTGAGTTTTCCTTGACTTCATTATCACCGTCGATAAAGGTGTCAGTATCATCAATGACAACACCTGTAATTATGTAACATAACGATAAAATTGATGAATATTCATTGAATTTATGATTACATTATAAATGCCATATATAGGCATATGTTCTTATTTGTGCTGGTTGGCTGTACTGTACGCTAAAAATCGATAGCAAATAATATAGTGATATTCTAGGTAATCATTTTTAAGTGTGTTTGGTACCAGGTTAACAGTTAATATCTTTAAAATTCTATTTCTTTTGAGTGCACAAAGCACTTGTTTCTGTGCTTTTTAACATCTTAACCAGTCCCCCCTCCCCACCATTTTGCCACTAAATTTTAATGCATATCAAAGTTATAAATTGAAATTAGCGCTTCAGCCTACTCACTTATTTATTCAGTAAAATAATAATTAATATTAATATCCTGAAAATGTTGTGCCCCCTGTTTGAAAAATTCTGGATCCGCCCCTGATTATCCATTTTTATTTCCTCATAAATGATACTTGCAGTGCTTTCAATAACAAGTTATGGATGTAACAGAATTTACTTCTATGTTTGATTTCACTAAACTTCAATTCCTAAAAGTAGAAGAGTAACATCATTGTCCACATACAAATTTTGTTTTGTACTCATAGGTTTCATGTTATGAAACTGATGCATATAGTATTGGTATTGTAGTTTACTTGTATCACATTAAATAATGCATCTGTTATTCTTATTGTCACCAAGTCACTTTGAATGACAATAGCATATTATTCCCTTTTAAAAAATAAATGAGAATAATAGAATCAATAAAAAGATTCATTTTTCTAGGATTTATTGCATGGGTGACTACTGTTACTTATAATCAACAATAGTGAACACTTTGATACTAAAAGTACAGTCTAAGGGCTGTAATCTGTGGTTTTTAGGTTTTACCGTACTAACGAGTATTGCATAATACTGCATAAAACCTTTCAAAATTGTAAATTATGTAATGATGAAATATAATTAAGAATAAATAAAAGTGGGATACCCACAAAAAACAAAAAAAAAGTTTTACAGTGCAGTACTTCGGTTTCCTCAGCAAAATATTCAAAAAATCCTACACTTTAATGTGTAATAACAAATAATAATTTTGTCTAGAGGTATGATGCCAGGCTAGTGACCTGGAGATCGTGGGTTTGAGTCCCACCCGAGAACAACTTTTTCACACATACTGAGTATTCAGTACATTTCCACATCAAGTGGGGCAAAAATTACACCTATAATTAATAATCTTCCTATACATTTACTAGTAACCATAATCCTTAGACCTTATCTGTACTAATTGTCAAAGAAAAGTTGGTCCGCCAGGTAGATTTTTATATGTTTGTACCAGCCTCTAGTAAACTAAAGTTTCCAATGTAATGCAGTGCTTGAGCTGGTCCTAAAACATGTCCTTATAGGGATTGAACCAGAGGCTAGCTGAAGGCCAGCAATTGGAATTTTGTGCACATATACAACATGTATCCTCCAAGTCAGATATTTCAGTGTAAAATTAATGCGACTAAGTCAAGGTTCCTGACAAGTCAACGAATTCAATTGCAAAATCAGGCAAAATAGCCTAAAAATTAGTAACATTAATTGTAGCTACTAGTATATACAGAATATAAACTCACACATACCCCGACGCAACAACAAATCGTGTCGGGATGCGTCGTACAACGCTGTCTATGTTGGCCTTAAGTCTCTTGTATGAGGCTCAGGGAGAGGAGATGTTTTTAGTCACGAGATAAAAACCTGTAGTGACAGGGTTTGAACCCAGGACATTGAGATTGGAAGCAAGCAACTTACTATCAAGTTACAGCCCCACTCTTCACACAAAAAGGCAACTATTGTTTAGGGATAATGCATTCAAATCCCCATTCCCAGCAAGATTTCAGTTGTTAAGAAAAATCTGATTTTTATATAATGTTATAAAGATTTATAAATGCAATACGAAATTGCTAATTTAACTGAATTTAGACATTCCTAAACATGAAAACAATTTAAAATAAGACTGAAATTTGATTTTTTTGTGTCCCACACAAAAAATAAATGCGGATGGATTTTCCGCTAGTATTGACCACTGAGATTAAAATTAAACAATGACAATTAAACAATTATATCTCAGGCCTACTCGATCGATGCGAAGTACGAAAACCAATTTCATTTAGAGGGCACCTCCACAACCTCTGAATTTGCCTAGTAACGAAGAATTTGTCGAGAAAATGGTAATCTCCTATGAGAAATAGTCTGTATTTCTCATTTTTTTTATTCTCTTGCATAAAACTAAAATTTATGCCAATATTTTTCCATTGTTTATAATAAATAGATTAATGCATATGCATTTTTTCTATAAAAATTTTGCCAAGAATGGGGCTTTAAGTTTAGTGTATAAAACTGTTTATACAACTTCATAAAACTAGGTGTTTGTCTTTTTTTCATTCCAATTATTTAGGCATTGTTTATAATTTAAATATACTTTAATTACTTATTTCAATTTCAAGTTTCTAATAATTTAATACTAATACAGATAAAAACCTGTGCAAGATAAAAGGTAGGCTCTATAAAATAATGTTCTACATGTTGAGTAATAATATCCAGCTTACAGGGAAGTTGCTAGTATTAGTAGTACAGTGTTGCAATCTTTAGAAAAGTGAACTAGTTGTATGAGTAAACATTATATTATCCATACTCTTGGTACTACCTGATACTCTATTCATGAAAAGCACAATGGGTTACACACTTCACAAAACAAACTTAACGACCGAAAATAGAATGGTATGTTGACCCGATTCATGTCAATACACTTAGATGCTTTTAAGTCATCCTAAATTAAAAGAATGTAAAAATTTTTAACATTTACGCCCTAAGTAAAGTTTATATAATATTGAATTTAATTTAAGAAAAGTCAATCCAATTAACAGTTGAACGGTTTCCATACCTTTCAATGGGAAGCTAGAGATGCATTTATTACTAGCTAATTTGGGAGGGGAATAGCTTGGTATTTAAAATGCTTGCCTTTTAATCCGATTCGGTGATGGGCGTCACATGACCTAACTTGGGTGTTGGATATAAACACTTTTACACTATTGAGGCTGCAACCCTTGTTATTGCTGTAAAGATCATCATAATTCCCAGTAAACTATACCAAATTGATTGGAAACCGAAACTTAAGAATTTTGCCTTAATGGTTTGCTAATGCTCTAAAGGATACTGGCCGCATTTTTTGGACAAAAGTTAGGCCTAGGCCACTGCACATCTACGGCCTGCTTAGGTATAACTGTAGAAATTCTTCGACCCGTTAACTACACTATGCTATGATTTTAAGGCTAGCTAAAATTTACGAATTTCAAAGCATGCAATGCTAAAAGAATGCTATGATAAATAAATAAACACTATTTTGAACAATCGTACTGCTTTTCCTTGTCATTTATTTTTCACGTTAATAATGGGTGGTTGTTTTCGCCACCTCAACACTAACTTTCTTATACTTTCACACTGATTGCACTGTAATGTTTTCCATGGTATATCCAAGGTGTTAGAGCTTTTAACAAAACTTTTAAAAGATGAATTATGGTAGTAATGATGATGAAAATGGAAAATGATAGTAATAATAATAATAATAATAATAATAATAATAATAATAATAATAATATTGATAATAATAATAATGCTTCGGTGGCTTATAATGTTTTAATGGTTGTTGTTTAATGTCTTTTTTACATTGTAATTTTTATAGTTCATGATATTTGATCATTCTTTTAATTGTTCTACTGTATTTTAATGCGAGAACTGAATTTCCGATTTGGAGCAATAAAGTGTACAGTATCTTATCTTATCAAGTCATGTCACGTGATGGGGTGTTAAGAAACATCGCTGAATCGGTCTATTCCAGGGTTCTGGTTTTTAATTCCTATTATGGACTTTTAATTGTCATTACCAAAAAAACAACTTCACTACCTAAACCTTGTAGTGAGACTTCAAGCCAGACACTCACTTCGCCTTATAATTATCGGCCAATGCAACTACACTTAGACAATGGTACGCCTTCAGCTGATTGTCGGTAGCATGCAGAATGGATCGTTATTAAAAATGATCCGTTGTATTCTCCTTTGATCCGACGGTGTCCCATCTTCTAGTGTTCACAGGGAGCAAAGTTGGGCGATCTTACAACAAAGTGAGTGGCTGGCTTTAGTCTATGTATAGTATTTTGTGTGTATGTTTGTCTTGTAAAGGGAATGGTAATTAATTTAACTTTGGCCCTTATGCCTAAAGTGAATGAAATAAAAAATAAATAAATTTCACACAACCTTCAAGGGATATAACAATATCTAAGCTTATTTTAATCAATGTCCTCTTAAAACATTTAATATGAATTAAATGTAATTCCCTTCTATTATTACATTATTACTATTTAAATTTAATCTGATTTATATCCAAATTGTACTGACGTATCTTTTAACATGGCACAACTCTGTAATTTTTTGTTTATGTCTATTGTCTAAGCCTTTCTGAAATATGCACATGAGTAGCACTTATGGGGTAATAACCACGGCTACCTTTGGGAATTTTTTCTTTGTACAATATAGTAGACCTTGGCTTTTAAAAATATAAATTATTAATTATTAGGCCAAAAAAATGTCATGTAGGCTAAGCCAGACTGACACAAAATCTTTAAAATATTGGGTTGGCTTTTTGGCAAAAATATTTATTACTTTCTAGGAGTCCAAAATACCAACCCTGATTATCAAATTTAACTATGATTGGCTTTTAGCTTTATAAAGAACAACAAAATATTCCTTACTTCCAACAAACACATCTGTAAATGCTGAACTTGCGAGTCCATTACTGTACGCTTCCACAGAGATATTGTACGACTCATTAAACTTCAAGTTATCTACAATAACTGAGAGTCCATCATCTGGCTGAGCTAATGATACTTGTAGACCAGAGCTTGTCTTTATCAAGTACTCGTTGGTGTAACCATTTCCTGGGACAACCTTGACATTCACACTGCCTACATTGTTGGGAGAGTATTCGACTGAAGGGGCCTCGGGTACTAATATAATTAAAAATAAATACATATAAAAATTAGTAAGATTTGTTTTCTATTGTAAGTTTATTGACCTGATTCATGCACGATAGGAAGTTACATGCGTGTTTGAAAATAATTAGCATGCTACATCATGTACATGTGAATGCGCATCTATGAAATGTGAGGACATGTCTCATGTAATAAGTCTCAAACATCCCAGGAGGTATTTAGTAAAGGACCTCTGCGTAAGCAGTCATGTAACAGCTATGAGCTCCCACTAGCTAAAGCCAGGGCCCCAGACCTGAAGGGAGACCCAGGATATTCATCAGCATAATCATTTCAATCGAGCAGGCTTTTAAAGGAACATAACATGTAAAAATTTATTTTAATATAACATTAGATGTCAAAAATGCCCCAGTAGGGTTTACCCCATACCGCACCATGCTCTCAAGACAGAGCCCCAGAGTTAGGGCCCAAAGGAGCCTTAGCCAGGGGCTAGTCAAAAGTGAAGTGATGTCAGCTCTGACGTTCTGATGACATTTTGGTTGATAGCAAGACCTATTCTTCACATGAGCTGACCCAAGCAAGGGCGCTGGAGGGCTCTTTCCTTAAAAAACTCATACTACATTTGTGGGAGTTTGTACCTCTGATGTCAGTTCATAGTGTTCTTGTTCTGTCTAATATTGGTGGATTCTATTATTTTTCTATTTTGCTAGTGTGATTATTTTTTTCAAGTATTTTAGGGAGATTGTTCATGGAAATCATGTGGTCAGTAACTGCAGATTTGTGAGTGAATAGGATGCAGAGTTCCTACAGTAGCTATTCTAGTGAGAACTGGAGCAGTAAGTGTCAACATCCGATTTGTGTCCTTTCATTCAATTAAAATGTCATCGGAAGGTCTGAGCTTCATCGCTTCAATTTTGATGGTGCATCTTGCCAAGCCGGTAAGTAAAAATAACAATTTACTGTATTTCAAACAACTGGATTAACAAAAAAGAACACTTCAGAAATATTCTATTGAATCCAGAATGAATTTAATTCTTCTGAACATCATTATGAATTATAAAAAGTTCCTGAGAAAAAGTAGTTGAAAATTAAATATGATCTTTGTGTGTAGGTGTTTGTTTTACAACTATGATGCGAATACATAAACATTAATACTCACAAGTTGCATACTGTGACGGGACTCCATAAAATCCATCTTCATTTGCATACGACAAATACAATACATAAAGTGTTCCCGGTTTTAAGTCTTCAAGCACTGTTGACACTTCATCAAAGGAACTTAACTGGACAACACTGGATTCATCAGAACTGTTTTTAGGATGGAATGTAACATTTGCGCTCCCAAAGCTCTGGCTCCTTACAGGCCAGGAGAGTGATAAACTTGTTTTGTTATATGCTGTCCGCCATATAGTACCATCTAATACAGGAATCAATTGAATATGTTAATAGGCTTCATATGGAAGAACTGTATTAATAATTTCAAAAATAAGTTAAGCTTTACATCAATGTGGAAGTCTGCAGAAGTGTGGACATTTTCAAAAGAAGACAGATGATAGTCAAAATCAGAACACAGAGCATCATTTTGAAATGTGGGTAAACAGGGATGATGGCTGATTGAATGTAGAAATTACTATAGCTATTCAGCAAAATGCAAGCGTCCCAAGTTGGGTGAAATCCCTTCCGGAAGATCTGGTTAAATGAGCTTACAAAATCCTATTTAATTTCATTTTTCTGTGCATGTGATTAACTATCGGCACTGATTTCCATGAGACACTTTTGATATTAAAGTAGTAAAAACATATAAATTTCATTAATTTGGGGGAGATGGGTTACTTTCCAGGAGATTCTTGTTTGTTTGTGGGAGTACGAGAGGTCATCACGGCTACCGGGAGACTCCCAATACTTCCGAGCGACTTGGGACCCCTGCAAAATGTTACTGTATTAGGAATCACAGTACATTAAACATTTTTGTTGCGAAAATAAGGTAAGGTAATGCCATTGCTTAATATATACACCAAGAAAAGAAAATGAAATTAAATGTTTGCTACAATGCCATGCATCTAACACTAACACACAAATAAAAATAATTCGGGCTCTGTTTAAGGTAAAGATAAAATAGAAACAGTTACCATTATACAAAAAAAAAGACAAGAACTGAAAACAACAGATCTTAATCTACTGTAGGTGAACTTACTCTCTGTGACCACAGAATCCTGAACTTGATTCAGAAGAAGCCCACCAGTTGAGTTGACACCTTGTACTGTCACTGTGTAGTTAGTAGAGGATTCCACATGTTCATAGACAGTGGTGACACCCAGTCCAGCGAGTATCGGGTTGCCATTGAGAAGGATCCCAGTATCAGTATTCCAGATCTCAATCATTGCACTCACTACATCACCAGAGGCTGGCAGTGTATAAGAGATATTTAAACTGCCACTGGTACTATATAAGACGGGATCCTCATATATAGTCTATCAGAATAATAATAATATTTGTGAACAAAAATTAATGATCTATATAATTTTATATATCTATTACTATAAAAAATCTCCTGGAAAATAACTTATCTCCTGCAATTTACGATATTTTCATGCAGCGGGGATATGATACGTTATGATACTCCTTTACTGTCATTTTAACAACATGGTAAAAAATGAAATTTGTGTTGATTGATGTGATAGGCAAAAACAGTAGTACGTGCAATTCAGAAATATTAAAGTATTAATTAACTCCTTGAGAGAATCATATGGGTGAATTTGGGATCTCAGGATCAATAAGAATCAATAAGAGACCACCATGATCCACTAGCTGAAAGAAAAAGTGACAGTGCTGCCCTGAAGCTGAAAAAAAACCAGCGACTAACACCAAAAAGGTGAAAACAATCTGTGAGTCACAGAGACAGAAAACAGCCGACTGTCTGCTGGTGGATCACAATGAGTCTCCCAATCACCCAAGAAAGGTCCCCACCCACCAATACAAGACTTAGCACGACCCCTCCTCCATTGAAAATGTCTGAAGCAAAAAAATTTTGCTCAAGTACTTAAAAACCACCTCCATGTCACCTTATTCAACCACTATATCGCTCCTTAACCACTAAGCTATACAACTTTGCACCAAGTATTACTAACAATTACGTTGACAACTTCCTCTACTACATGACAAACACATACCATAAAGCATTTTGAAAAGATCAGTTTTCAAAAACTGTGTGCGCCCAATGAGTAATCAACTCAGAATGGTCCTGCCCTTCTTGTCAAAATGAAACCATTCATTTTTGGGTTAATAACATCCTACAGTAGTACTTCTGAACAATTAATGCTGAAATGACATACTGTACATCCAAATATAAACAAATCTTATTGGAAAGTACATAATTTCCCACAAAATATGATATTTTTTCATCAAAATTTGCAATTAACTAATGATATCGACATTTTGTATTGAACATCTTAAACGAAGGGGAAGAGTCTATATATATAGTAAGACCATGCTGAATGTAGGTTAAAAAATGGCCCCTGAAAAAAGGGCCCGGAAAAAATTTCACCGGTACAAATGGCCCCAAATGACAGGTGGGTAAAAATGACCCAAATCATGAAATTTAATAATAAAACTGACTTTTTTCTTTCAACTATCTAAATGCTGCAAAATAGCAAAAATTATTACCAATAAATCAATATAAATTAATGTTTAGTACAGTAAGTCCAGGTGTTTTTGAGAATTTTTGGGAATTACTTATTTTAGGAGTTTGGTACACAGTACTGTACCTTCATTATTTATTAGCATTTTAGTTTGTTTACTTGGTAATAATATTGTAAACTACAGGTACTGTACACCTTATTTTACAGGAACCTTGAAATATTTGTGAATAGTTTAATAGTTTGAGTGAAATTACAACAGCAATATTTTAAAATATACTATTTAACTAATAATAATAATAATAATAATAATAATAATAATAATAATAATAATAATAATAACAATAATAATATACTTTGAAATTAATCTACAAATAATACATTAATTTAAAATATAACATAGACCTAAAGATCTGGTAATACCACTTTGCTAAACTGTCAAATGTGTTTTTAAAACATTTTTTAGCTGGAATTTACACAAATACAGCAAGTTAAAATATACCTAGATCTAACACATTTTTTATATTTTTATTACACAAATGCCTGCTTCAAAATTTTCTGAAACACATTTGACAGTTGGATCTTTATAAAACAAAAATAATTTAATTTATTAAATTATAAAACATAAAATAATGATTGACTAAATTATTTTATTTAAAATAACAAGTGATGCATTAATTTATTAAATTATTTATATAAAAAAAAACCCAAAAAATATTCACATTACTGAATTTTATAATGTCAAAGTTGTAATTTTAAAAATGTTATTTATTACATATAATGTACCCTATTAACTATTTTATTAATTTTTATATAATTCCTGCAAAAAGTTATATAAATGGAAACTTATTTGACATTGGATTCTTTTTAAAAATCTATTTTATTTTTTGATTCATAGCGATTTAATATTGATTCAATTTTTGCTGTTTTGCTACATTACTACACATGTATTGTTCAATGAAATTTTATTTTTATTTTATCTTCCGTCTGGATGTTTTTGGCAAAATTTAATTGCTAAATAAGAAAACAAAATTTTATTTTTATTTTATTTTTGCTTTCCTCAGATGGTCTATACTTTCCAACCATCACCTGATTTAAATATCATGAGTACTGTATACCTTTATTTAATGAATGTATATTTCAAATAATAATAGTAATAATAGTTGGATTTGTAGAGCGCATCATGCGAAAAAGCCTCTATGCGCTTGGTGATTGAGCTCTTTGAGTTTGACATTTTGAGAAAAAAGAAAGTTGAAGTTATTTTATGAAACTAAAAAAACCTACTCCTTAAACTAAGGCATGGTTGGCCGTTGTCTCCGAGGAGTTGTCATCCGCCCTTTGTTCAGCTGTTTTTTTTTCGTGCTGCTGGGTGTCCATCCACCCTCCCATTGGCAGCCGCTAAAGACCACCAGATGGGGTTGTCGGAATTAGTCGCCGACGACTCGACCAGATGCAGTTTATAACTTTGTGCCCAGGACACTATAATCCTAATCTACACTTACATACACTAAAATAAACTAACTTAAATAATTGGTTGAACTATTCCCATAATTAATAAATGAAGGTTTCGGGTCAGAGGTCAGCAAATCAAAAAAAATAAAAAATTCCTATTTACTGTGAAAGATACACTATTCTTTGTTACTGTCTTTCTGTAGTTATGAATTTCTCACTGTACATACTGTGTTGGGCCAAAAGAACAATTTGAATATATCTTTAGACACCTTGATCTTTCACTTCAATGATATATAAAGAATGTCTGTTATATAATGCTACAGGAGCGTATTTCGTGAATAAGAACAGCTAATTCAGCACTTTTAAAGGAGCATTCAACTAAAACTAATGTGTGTTAAACAGAATATTGTATGCATTTGAACACTTGAATGGACCAAGGCCAAAGTTTAAAATAGTACAGTACGACATATATGACTACAGTATGTAGGCCTACAGGTACTATATACTGCATTCTTTAGGTTGGATGCACACCTGAATTTACGGTAGCTCAATCTTAATTGAAACATAGGCTTAATTTCCAATAAAAGTGATTTTTCCACAAGTTTACAGTTAGATATTGTAGTTAGTAATACTACTGTATGTCCTATTATATTGCATACAGAGTCTTCTGTGCTTTCAAAAAGTTAATCTGGTTTTTGTAATCTGAATTGGAATCTGCCGTACACAACTTTCTTTTCTGCTCCATGTACAAAAGACGAAAAAGGTCCACTGATTAATCTCAGATAAGAAAGTACCGTATATAGACATAGACATAGACATCACATTATTAATCCAAATCCTTGGAAATTACATCGCTCTTTCAATAAATTAAGCAGGAAAAGTAATTCAATGCAATAAATAATAACTACCTTACATATCTACTATTAAACAGGTAAATGCCCCTCGCAATATACACACAGGTAATACTCCAAGTATTGAAATGTGCACCATAATGTTAAGATTCAATATTTCGACATTATGTCATCATCATTGATGATGACATAATGATGATGTACTGTATAATGGTGCAAGTTTCTTCTGATTAATTTTGTATTGTGAAGTTTGATTGTATTTTACATATATATTTTTACCTTCCCCAGCCTAGGGGTATTTGTTGAATAAATTGAAATTGAATTGAATTAAATAATTATTGTCAAAATATTGGTTCCCAAAACCAAGATGTCATTAAAACCGAAAGGTCCACTGATGAATCTCAGATAAGAAATTATAATACATATTCTAAGAATTGATGACATAATTAATGTCGAAATATTGAATCCCAACACGATGGCAAGCAGTAACTGCTGGTACATTTGTTATTCCACAACCAAAGTTTCAATACTTTAAACATATTGTAGTTTTCATTTTAGAGCTACGTCACTTTTAAATTCACTCAGTTTTAGACATGATTCGTCATAATACAGTATTTTTAAATGAAATTTTAAATTTTATCTAAACACTAAACACTAATTTTATAATGTTTTGAATTACATTTTTACCTTTTAAACATTTTTTCTCAAATTTGAAATTTAAATTTTATATTGTACTGATAATGTTTGCCTCTTTTATTATTTTATTCTTCGTTCTTGTTATTGTTATTATTATAATTATTTTAATGGATCTATTATTTTTCATAAAATGTTTATTCAAATTTCTATATTTTATTCTATATATTTATTCCATGTTAAAATGAATTGTATTGCTCGCTTTGTTATTGTTTTATGTTTGAGGGCCCCTTTGAGTCAGCATTGCTGTTTCACGATACCCTCTTGAAATATGGTTGAATAAATTGTAAATAAATAAATAGCAGGCATTTCAATACTTGTGGTACCAAACATAAAATATTAACTCTTGATATATGGTGATAGGCTTTGATATTTTAAATTCTGCATGAATTTCTTCTTTAAAACACTATTTATTTGATGGAAATTGGTTGAGTATTAGCGAAGTTATGAATATATAATTCCTTTTAGTCATGTAATTTTTGAGAAAACAGCTTCCAAAGATTTCAAAATCAATAATCTATTAATATTATTAAGATTATTCAGATAAAGAAAACATTATTTTAATATACCTTTCCGTTAGAATTACTTTTTAATATTTTGCAGAAATATTATTCAATATACTGTACCTTTTTTTTTTATGTAAAAAAACCTAAAAATGTTCAAAATTCTGATTCTCAATTGTTTTGGGCGCTTGTGCGAAATTAGAAATTGCGACAAATAGCGGGTATTGCCAGATCCAGTAACATATTTACATAGACAAAATTAAAAACTTTATTTTGCTCTCCGAACCAAGTTTCTGGGTCAAGTACAAGCAAAGTAAGATCATTTTGACATTTAGATATCTGAAAACATACCTTAGAAAAGAAACTCCCTAAAAAGATGATCAAATGATAAATTTTATTGTTGGTACTGTATTCCTATAAATTCTTAAATATAGTGTCAAAAACGTGCATTTAATCTATGTAAATCAACAAAGAACATTTGCTATTGTGAAACATATGCAATGGAACTTTATCAGGAACACTGGTACCCAATACGACTTCATATATCTTCTAAGATATATAAAATTGACACGACTCTCTTTGTCATTAAACCTCCCATAGGGAAGACAAATTTGCCAATTATAATGCACAGTAATGACATAATATTATTTATTAGATTATGCTATAATAATATAATTTGGTTATGTTTGTATTTAGTTGAGAGTGTTATATGAATAAAATAAAATATTGTATTCTTGGTTAAGAACACCACAAAAAAAAAATGAATTTCATCAGTTACATTCTCACATTTAATTTGTGTATGTTGTTTTGCACCAAACATACCAAAAATGAATAATTCCTAGATAAACGGTGATTAATGTACATTTATACCGCACCTGCTATGATAAACAATCATCTGGTTCATTAAATTCGCCTCAATGAAAAATGAAATAACTACTAAAAGAAGCATTGATTTTTGGGGAGTTTGGTTGTAATTTACATTGCACATTGACTTTATTGCACGCCGCTATATTAACATGCTCAAATTTCTTCATTGCATCTTAATTACATGTATGTACACATGAACACTGTTACAGTAAATATTGCCTTCGTCTCCTGTAGGCCTTCGGGCAATTCTTCCAGGCAATACTGGAATACATTCGCGTCCTTATATTCCAACATTACCCTCAAAAGTTTACAGTAATGTAATTTACCTATTGTTTTCTTAATAACAATTTGTAACCTTTACAGTATTTTATGAATTCATTAGTAATATTTTCATTTTCATTTTTTTAAATTTAAATATGTTAATAGCACATTAAAATAACATAAAATCCATGTAGCCTCTTGTAACAAATTTAAAATATTATAATTATACCAGCACAAAAAAATGTTAAACTGGAATTTAGACTAAAAAAATATTAACTACATGCTACTGTATAGTACAGTACTACATTACGTCACATATTTGTTTTCTTTTCATAAAAGATCATCAAACACCGAATACAATAACTGTTACTGAATACTGTAGTGTTTACTATTCATAATTCATTCATAATTTATTCGTTGTCTCAAAGGAGATGGTAGAGTAGCCAACAAAAGGAAATCTTCTTTACGGCAGTTGGAGTAGAGGATGGTTGGAGGGTTGCCTTCTTCAATGGCAAGCTTACAGTAATTCCCCCTGCCTCCATCAACACTGTTAATAGGACTTATTTGGTCCCATATATGTCCATTTAATACAGTAGGAATTCTACTGTAATAAACACTTTAGCATCATATTAATTAATACACATCTTTCAATTGGGGTTTTTCCTGCCTTTAATTTAATTACATAATAATAATAATATATAAGTTAGTTAATACGCAATCTTCCAAAATTCACCTCAGAGTCAGTGATGGCGCCAGAAGGGGCAAGGGGGAATTTTCCCCTCCGTCGGAACAACTAGGTCGTCGGGTCAAAAATAATAATTTGCCTATCCAAATAACATTATTTTGACTGCCAATCCTTAATGTTGTGGTCCAAAGCATACTAAGCCATAAAAAAACTCTCCCCATGAACCAAGAGAGTTTTTATTTCGGCCCCTTGGCTCGGACCCCTCTGTCAGACATGTTAGACCCCTTGTCGCGAAATTTCTGGCGCCACCACTCCTCAGAGTCATGGTCAATTTGAAAAAAAAAAACCATAACTGACAGTGGGGCTAAAGTGAGTCAATTGAGGTGTTGATGACAGTATAGCTTTTAGAAGGCTGTTTATAATGGTCTAGAGACAATAGGACTATGTTTACACTCTATTTCTTGGAAGCAGGTGCTATATTTTTTATGTTCTAACACTTTGTTTGGTCCACTTAAATGCAAACATGCCACCGTGAAAATCACCTTAACTCTTAACCATTAGCGTTTCTTCAAAAACATCGATTGATTTTACTACAAAAACGGTAACTCAAAAACTAGAGGTAATAAATAAAGCAATTTAGCTATAAATATAGCTAAATTGTAAACAATTTACAAAATATTTTTTATTTTTTGGGTTGAATTACGAAAAATATAAGTGATATTAGCGTATTTCCAGCAGTATTTGAGCCGGCTTGTGAGGAGTCGTTTATTTACAGCGTTATAACTTTGCTTATACCAATCCATTTGCTCAGGTGGAAACAGCAACAGAAAGGCAATTTTCTTGCGATCCGTCATACATTAAAAATAATCTCATTTAATAAAAGTTTCTTCTGTAATTTTTGCATTCTTTCAAAGATTTTCAAGAAGAAAAAAAGGGCGAGCTTACAGCAGGGATCCGAGCATATTCCATTTTGTGAACTGATGAAAATATGGTACCTGCTGTATCAAAGACTAAAAATTCAATAAATGAATACATAAAAACAGCACTCTTTGGCATAACAGTTATGAAGGTAGCAAAAAAATGTTCATATAAAATGAAATGTGTACATAAAAAAAAAGAACTGTAAAGGCCCAATTACTAAAATAAATAATAACATAATTGTAAACTTATAATGGTATAGCGCATACTATGGAACCTATGGAACACAAATTCAAGCTCCCTGGGGCGGGGGCTATTTTTCCCAATTTACGCAAACATTTCTCTATTCTGCCTGACTCTCATGCGAGGGTTATTCAAGGAGCAGAGCAGTCTGAATAAATGGATAAAATGGAAGTGTTGTATATTTAAGTTGTAATCACATTGAATTTTAACACTTTCATAGGATAATATGAAGATTATACAATGAAACTTTACAAAACATACAACATACATATTATTTAATTAAGTTATTGCCCTAAAACTTAAAATTATTAATGCAATAATGCTGAGCAGAAAAGATATTCTGAAGATCATGTCGAAAGTGAGACTGAGACAAAAATGTTATGAACTTACCCCATTAGTTGGTACTATTCCTTGTATTACGAAGATCAAAAGAATCCATATTCCATGGGCTATCCATCGACTACACCCCTTGCCCATTTTCAGAACCTATTGCCCGATTCTGAATGAACTTCAGTTGGTCGCTGTCCTATCAATTATGTCCCAATTAAAAAACTATTGCTAAGCAAAAAGTCTGCTTCACCACCCAGATTTGTTTTAATCCGGGTTGGATGGTATCATCCCCAAACAATATGTCGCAATGTCCTGTCAATTCGCCGGCAAATTTCGCCCACTGTTTGGTGCTAGTATAAAAGATAAATGAACACACAAACCCAACTAAATGCAGCTTTTTTCTCATGCATGACTTCAGCCATTGTTATTATTAGCCTCACCTAAAGCAAAACACAAAATAGGCCTACCGTACTTAAATTGAAAGCAAACGCTTCGATGCATGGAAACGAAACCACAGGCAAGTTTTTCTGAAGTCGCAAGTGAAATAGCGCCACCAATTTTCGAACAAAGTAATACAAATAGCTGTACAGCATGAACGACTTCTTTCCATGCACTTTTATTTTTAGAAATAGGCTACTCTATTAATCACAGAGCATGCTATTTTTATATTTTGTATTTTTAAACTCAGAATTACACGTATCTGTTAAAATAGTTCTGATGTTAATTTACATTTACATGTATTGTTGCTTTGAAATAGTATCTTAATAATTATTTTTTCATATTATGTGTATGTGTTTGTATATGTATGTATATATATAAGTCGTTGAAA